GTGATGTCAGGTATCTATTAATCGGATAATCTATATAATATCAGTGTCAATATCTATGAACATGCAAATCCATAGTCAATAAATCCGTGCAGTATCTATGATCATCAAGTCAAGATAATATAATCGGAAAGCAATACCGATAAATCAATTGTAGCAAGTCAATACAAGCAAATCAATAGTATCAATGATCAATGGAATCAATCACGAAAATCAATAAATCCTTCAATAATAAACAATTCAATAAATCCATCAATATCATAAATCAATGCATATTAGAAATCCATCACGATGCATATCATATACATACAATTCATACAATGGTCTTACTGACAAGCACAAACACATAGCTATGATCAATAAGTGCTGTTGTAGAAAATCCATAGTGCTTGTTGTAGATATCCATAGTTCAAACGCAGGTTACACTGTATTATCAAATAGTGCTGTGTAGAATCCATATTGCTGTTGTAGATACTCCATACAGTTGGTTTCTTAACCAACGTTCAACCAGGTTTCATTGTCTTTCAGATCAATAATCAATTCAATGTCAATATAAGAATCAACAATACAGCAATCATATCAAACATCATATGCATATCTATACAATTCATAAATTTCAGAACAATTGGAATCATACGAAAATCCAGCGGCATAACGGCACGTGAGGTTTTTACACAAAAATCACCAAACAGAAATTTACCAATTACAGAACGTGCACAAAAAATATAAAACTAATTATTCTAAGAATCCACAATCAAAGAAACATCCTGATATTTTTATATTCACATTAAAATACGTAGGAATCAATTTCGACCGAATAAAATATACCAAATCGAGAACATATCACAGATCTATAAGCTTTCTACATAAACTCTTGTGCAAGAAGTTGTGTAAATTTACATAAGAACGCAGGTCATAAATTCGGACTACAAAACACAAATCAGTGCACAACTCGTCAAAAATCATATCTCGAATAACAGATACAGATTGGATCCTTACCATGAGAATCTACACTTCATCCACACGCAGCGTCAGGACCCGAAAACGACGTCCAGCGCCTCCGAACCCAGATTTCTTGTATCTTATCTCTTTCTTTCATCTCTCTTTCAAAATAGCTATTTTTATAAACAAGTATTTTCATCTCATCTCGAATCGACTGATCTCTTAACCTTAGTTATGACCCGCGCGAGATCCTCAACCGACCTCGCTCGTTCTGGCGATCAGAACAAAAACCAATCGGCCCTGGACGATTTTCAGGCATGCTCTCGGGATTCTTTCGTATCTGATCTCCAGGACGATCCAAAATCGTCGTGACGATCCAGTCAGAAATCACTCCAAGAAATCATTCCAGAAATCAGCCTGTTTCAATGCACTGATCGGCCTGGCCGATCTCCACACACTCGTCCCAGCCGATCCTGGGAGGAAAATCCAATTCAGAGAGGAACAGTAAAGGAACGAGATCTCACAATAGTGACACTTTAAGAATAATAATTAATGACCCGTATAGATAACTTAGAGAAATTTTAGGGATTATGATACACCTCCAAATGATATTAAACTTACACCATTTAAACTTAGTAATATTTCAGTCCGTTAAGAATTATTTAGAAACTTTTAGGATCATTTAAGTCAATTAATAAATTAACCATAATCTAGCCCTTTAATTAAACCCCAAAAACTTCAAACAATTATAATAAATTTAAATTAAATTAAAAAAATATAAATAATATATCAAACTCTTCAAAATTTAATCCTTAATCCAAGAAAATTAAAATCCCTTTAATTGGACCTTAATTTGAACACTAATTTAATTTTGATTAAAAACTCATCCTTAAATTAAATTAATTAATTAAAAATTATTAAAAATCCTAAAAATCTCCCAAATACTTGGAAACACTTTCTTGAGTCATTCCTTACTTTTGGAGGTAATCCCAAGAGGTTTGGACTTCATTTGAATGAAAATCCCTAAAATACCCTTGATTAAGCAATTATAATACTTCATTAAATACTCAAAATTTGAAAAATCATAAATAATTCCAGAAAAATTCAAATTACATAAATTAAAAGGCATTCAGCTCCAATTAAAATCTAGTATTTATTAAAAATATGAACATTCTAGAAATTAACATAAATAAAAAAATCAACTCCTCGGTCAATCGTATTTAAATAACTAGGCCTGAACTTCTAATAATCGTAACTTTGCGTAGAAAAATTTAAATCTAGCAAACTTATAGTCTAATTACTCTCAAAAAGATCTAATATTTAATAAAAATACTAGAACTCTAGAACTTATCTTGCTTCTAAAAGTCAACTTTGGACCCCCTCTAAACTAGTAGATATGCTGGGTATTCCAAAATTTGTTAATTCAACTTAAATTTCAGAGAATTTTATCCTAAATATTAAAACTGATCAACCAACTAAATTAATTAAAATTGACCTTAAAATACTACTATTTAAACTTTAATTAAAAATTCTCCTTTGACCTCCAATAAATCAAGTCGCAAATAACTTAAACTAATTAACTAACATAGGTCATATTTGAGGCCACATAACTTGCTACGCATACATAGAATTATTTGTTAGGAAATTACTTCTAGCTTTAGGTTAGACCGGTATTTTCTTCTATTTCTGTAATGTGACGATTTGCATGAGGCACGTGTGCTTGTTATTCTAATTTCTGTGATAATTGTTATGATGATGATTTTTGTTATTACATTATCTCTGTGATGTGATGACGATAGATTACTCATAAGTTAGAAGCGATTTTGATATTAATAATATTTTCTATAGGTGATCATGTTCATATAGTGCTAAAAAGGGGACTAAAAATAAATAAATCATATATAACTGCTACATGTGCTTCAACCACTTAGCCTCTAAATAAATAAGAGCATGACCAAGTGTGGCTGGCATGAGTACTTTCATTTTCATATATAACTGCTTGAAATATTTTATTTTAACTATTTTGGATAACCCTATAAGAGAGTCTAGATTTCTTTTTGTAATATTGATGTAATGTATTTGAAGTAAAGAGTTGTGAGAGTATAAAAATGAGACATCTTGATAAAATATCTGGGATCCAAAGAGAAAAAAAGTCTATTTACAGAGAATTTCTTTTCATTTAGGTACCCTATTGAGGAAGAATTATAAGAAGACTGAAGGAAGACAATTTACAGAGGATGATGTGTTGAACCTTGAGAAGTCTAATCTTCTAAAAAATTATTTTATAAGCCTTTTTAAAATTTTATGCATTTTTTTATTTAGAAAGTTTTGACTAGTACGCATTGTATTAGAAACTAACTAAAATCAAAATTTAATTACATTTATCTTACAAGCATAATATCATTCATAAGTATAAAGCCACTTAGGGACCTCTCTAAATGTTAGAGTTAATTTCCAAAGACTCAGCCACCTACCCATCTTTCATAAAGAACATACATTATTGATTTTAGATGACTAGGTGGTTAGCTGGATTTCTTTTTCATGCAGGATAAAAGTCCAGAATGCATTAACTAGGATATGTGTGTTATTATTATGTGTAGAACACTAAAACCACTATAGATTTAGAATTCAAAGCTACTACAATCAGTGTCTCATAGTATGCCTCATTGGCGGGTAATTTATATATCCTTCAAAGGCTAGAAATTTCACCTATCTACGTCACATGGATGACGCCACCTCCATCTTTCTCTCTTGTATTCTCAGAATACATTATTGTCTTTCCTCCAATTTCCTTTCCCTATCTTAGTCCTTTCGGATAATGATATGAGTCGTGCATGTTGACCAAACCAAAATGAGCCTTTCCTTCCCTTTGAATTGGAAGTTCCTAGATTACTCCTCTCTATGTGTCAAACCCATATGAGAGAATAATGTATAGTCCTTAATCGAGAGTCTTATTAGTCCCCGACTTAAGAAACAGTAAAAAAGCCGTCCCAAATGAAATCTAAGTAGTGTCGGTGGATAAAAAATTGTATCATTGGGCTTGTTGTCACAACATAAGTCTAAAGAATAATAAGCTAGCTGACGCACATTCTTTGCTCACTACCTTGCATGTCAAGTATAACAAAGTTTTTTTTAATATATGGATCAAATCTCGTAATTGCTTCTTAGAAAGTTATTTTAACTAAGAAATTCATAAGCTTAAGTTTAATCATATGAGCCTTTAAATAGATGCGACAGTCGCTTTAATGCTTGTAAAAAATAAACAAAAATATTTCTTGTTGTTTACCTTGATTAAGATCCTTTGAGAAATAACGTAAGCATTAAACACAAAATTATGATGATAAATTGTTAAACATAAATAAAGAAAAACTAGGGAATTTCTCTTATCCATTACTAGTGAGCTATGAATAATTATGGTTTAGCTCAAATGGGTTTGTTAGAATTACTAACTTAGATGCAACTCAATTTGGTCTGTTGGTTGAGAGCTTTAGCTATTAACCATTACTAGTGGGTTATGAATGATCATGATCTGCATATTTGATGTGTGTATGAGTTTTACTTAATTGGTCTAAATATTCTCCCCACAAAAAAAAAAAACAAGAATATACTAATTTGAGCGAACTCGTATTTGATATCGAATGAATGATGCTAAAAATGGCTGTGATATTTTGATTATAGATATATTATGCCAGAATTAACTCATTTAGCAGTCCTCACCTAAGCAATTAATTTTTCTGATTATAGATATATTATGGCTGAATTAAATCATTTAGTAAGTAAGTTTGACAAAAGATAATTTTAATTTCGGCTTTAAACGATGAAATATTAGCAGCCATTTACTTTCTACTCAATATTTTGATGGATTTAAAAATCCCTTAAATGTATTTTTATTTTCGTCAATAAAATCTGTTGTAGTTTTTCGTCAATCTGTTCAAAGCTTCCGATGATGACGCCGCTGAGAAGCAGTAGGCTTGGATTCAAATGGTTAAAATACAGCAATTTAGAAGGATTCAAATTGAGATCCACGCCAAAAAAAACGAGGAGTCAGGAGAAATCTATACGTGTAAAGCAGCCGGAAACGAGTTCAAAATTGAAAGTTGTTTCCTTCCCCTGTAATCAATCCGCCTATTTCGTGCGAGGTAGCTCCGCTTCCGCTTCCGCTTCGCCGTCGATTGAGCGTCCTCTACTTCACCTATTTCGCG